GGTTCCTACTACATGTCAGGCACTGTGTTTGGCTCTTGGCGTTACATCAGCGAGTAAAACAGACGACAGTTATTGTCCTCATGGATCTTACTTTCTAGCAGAGACTTGAAGGAGGTAAGAAACCTATTTGCAAAAAGCATTCTAGACAGAGAGAACAGTAATTGTAAAAATCATAAGACAAAAGTGTGTATCTAAGGTAAGAATAGAAACAGTAAGAAGGTCCATGTGGCTGTAGCATGGTGAGGGACAGTCCTAGGAGGTGAGCTTAGAGAAGTAAGGGTGGCTGGGAAGCATTATGCAGAACCCATAAGCCACTATTAAGACTGTAGTTTTTACTCCAAGTGAGTTTTGTGAGCCTTGTAGATTTGAGCAATCTTGTGACATGATGTGATATTTTAAAACAATCCCCCTAGTTTCTGAGTTAAGAATAGACTATAGGAAAAATGGAGGGAGGAAAGAGAACAAGTATAAAGAGGGAGACCAGTTAGGAGGCTATTGCAGCAATCTAGGCAAAGGACAATTGTGTCTTGGACTAGAACTATGAACATGTATGAAAAATATTGAAAAAGCTGATAGAGAAAGTAATGTGCGATTGAAAGCCCAGTATTAAATTTCATGGATGCAATATAGAGAAGTGGTTCAGAGTTTGGGCTGTGAAGTCAAGCGCAGCTGTGACTTAAATAAGTTTTAACTTTAACCTTAATCATTCTGAGCCTCAGTTTACTAATCTGTACAATGGAGATTGTTTTAGCCTATGTGGGCTGCTACAATAAAATACCATAAACTGGGTGGCTTAAACAATAGACGTACATTCTTACAGTTCTGGAGCTAGGAAGTCCAAGATCAAGGTGCCAGCAAATTTAGTTCCTGGTGAGTTCCCACTTCTTTACTTGTAGACAGCCCATTTTTGGCTGTGTGCTCACAGGGCATTTCTTCAGTATGTGTGTGCATGGAAGCAGGGGGAGGGAGAGAGGAAGAGATCTCAGTCTTCTCTTCTAATGGCAAAAAATCCCTTCACGAGTGTGCCGCACTCATGACTTCATCCAAACCTAATTACCTCCCAAAGCCCCCCACCTCTAAATATCATAACATATGAATTTTGGGGAACATAAATATTCAGCTCATAATAGGAAAGATAATAGTTGTTATGAGAATTAAATTTGATATTCTATATAAAAGCACTTAGTACTAAGCCTAGCACATAGTAAGTACTAAATAAATGTTATTGTTGCATAGCAGATATTTATTCGTTTGACTTAAAGGCAAATTTGCCATATTTCCTGAATTTTTAAGATACCTTGGATTGACAGTCAATTTAAGAAAGCCTTTGAGGAGAGGTGGGAAGATTTTTAAATGAAAGACATATATCTGGTTAAAATTACATAACAACTTCAGAAATGTTAAAACGCTAGGAGAAAAAAAAATCACAATTAAAGATATGTGTAGTCAGACTTTTTTACTTTGGAATCCTATATAGTGCAAACATAGGCAATGCAAAACATTGCCTGACTCAGCTTTGCCCAGCTCAGCCTCACAATTGCATCTGAACCAATCCTACCTAAGCTTGTTAACTTTGAGGTACCAGAGGATGGGTTAGAAATTGTCATGCTAGCTACCAAGTACAGCCTGTGCCTTCTGTTGAGCTGGCCCAGCCTGTGGCCTTCCTCATTTCCACTCATGTTTCCATTTGGACTGGAGCTCTGATTCATGTTAGTAACTTTGGAACCATCTTTTCTCCCTTCACTCTGGGTGTTAGACCTTTTTGCCTTGCTCCTGTCTTGTCTAGAGGCTTACATCAAATACACAGAATTCCTGAAATGCCATGACTGTCATCACTGCCATAAGACCCTCACTGCCACTTCCTATTTTTCATATCTAGCCCTTTGATTGTTAATTATTGAAAAGACAACAAAGGATTTAAAATATTACATAAACTTAATTGATAAAGCAATGGTAGGGCTTAAGAAGATTGACTCTGATTTTGAAAGAAGTTCTACTGTGGGTAAAATGCTATGAAACAACATGACACATATCCACCATTATGGTATCCTACAGAGTAGTTTTGCCACCCTACAAATTCTCTATGCTCTGCCTATTCATCCCAATCCTGGCAGCCACTGATCATTTTACTGTCTCCATAGTTTTGCCTTTTCCAGAATGTCATACAGTTGAAATCAGAGTATGAAGCCTTTTTGATCGGCTTCTTTCACTTAGTAAAATGCACTTAGTCATGGTGTATCATTCTTTTTATGTATTGTTGTATTCAGTGTGCTAATATTTAGTTAAGAATTTTTGCTTATATGTCATGAGAATATTGATCTATAGTTTTCTTACAATGTTTTTGTCTGGTTTTTCGTATTAAGGAAATGCTGGCCTTGTAGAATAAGGTAGGGAAGTATTCCTTCTGCTCTGTCTTCTTAAAGAGATTGTAGAGGGTTGATATAATTTCTCTCTTAAATATTTGGTAGAATTCACCAGTGATCCCATCTGGGCCTGGTGCTGTTTTGAAAAATAATTAATTATTGATTTAATTTCTTTATTTCAAATGTAAGAAGAAGGCATTAAGTAGGTGTCAAGAAAGATGTCCTGGTCTAATTAGGAAATGATGCTGAAAGACTGAGGAATGTAGTTCTGAAAAGCTTCCTGGATTTGGCTATAGCAGAGGTTGTTAGTGACTGTACAAGAGCAGTTTCAATAGATCATTAAGAGCAGAAGCCAAGTTAGAATGAGTTGAAGAGTGGATAGGAGATGATGGAGCAGAAATCACAAGTAGTATGATCAATTCTCTTGAGGAGTTTTTCTGTGAAAGGGAATATAGGAATATAGCATGAGCTGGAGAGGTTTGGTGTTTTATGTGTTTGTTTCATTTTGATGTGACAGATAATAGAGCATGTAATGTATATTAATAAGAATGGGTTAGTTCAGAAAAGATTAAAGTAATAAAAGTAGAAAAAAAGACTTCTACCAAGATAATTTTTGAAATATTTTAATAAATGGAGGGATAAACCAAGCTCATGTATTTTTAAATTCTATTTGTAAAGATTTCTAACTCTTCCTAAATTTATCTGCAAGTTTAATGCAGTTCCTATAAGAATTCTGACTTTTTAAAAAAGAACTCGATAATTCCAAATTTTGTATGGTCATGGAAAGACCAAGAATAGCAAAGACACTCTTGAGGAATAACAATAATATGAAGAACTTCCTCTACCAGATATTGAGGCTTTATTATAAAGCTACAGTAATAGATTCTGATTATGGCATAGGAATAGACAGTTAATTAAAGGAACAAAATAAAGCCCTAGAAGTTGAACCAGCCAGATGTATTTGGCCTCTTAATAACAACATGGCACTTCAGAGCAGTGGAGGAAAGGAAAGTCTTTGCAATAAATGGCCTTTCCAATTAAGAATTACACAAAGAATAAAAATGAAATGTTCCTCTAATGCACACTGTACATGAAAATCAATTTTAGGTAGATTTTAGGATTATGAAATACTATGAAATGCAAAATAATGCTATTTTTATGACCTTAGGAAAAGGGCAAGAGTTCTTAAGACACAAAGAGCACTAACCATAAAGGAAAAATGTCCTTTAAAATTAATAATTTCATTTCATTAAAAGACACCATGAAAGGAGTGAAAAGGCAAACCAGACAAAAAATATATATATTTGCAGCACATCTAACCAATAGCAAAAAATAACTAGGTTAAATAAAAATGCCTATAAGCCTGTAAGAAAAATCAGACAACCCAATTAAAAATAAATGGGCTGAAGACTCTAATATGTCCTTTATAAAAGAGAAATTACCAACAAGTGGTGGAAAGAGACTGACAGAAGGAAAGCAAAGCCATCTGGATAAATCAAATGATAGTGTGTCCAATAAGAAGATTTTTCTGTATTTTCAAAGCTCCGTTGGCCTCATTTACATAACTTTTACATTTCATGTAACTTACAAATATTTATTAAAGGCCCACTCAAATATTAATCGTCGATCTCCATTTTTCACAAACATTAAAGTGAGGAGAAAATTATACTGTGTAGATTCCCATTATGCCTCAGTGGACTGAGTTCAGGCCTGGTTGGAACTGTTTCTCAAGGCTCTAGAAAAACCTACAGGGCCTATGAAGATGGACTGGGAGAAAGGGTTGGGGGAGAGGGCAGGTACATGGTTGTGGCTAACATTTATTGAATATTTACTATGTGCCAGGAACTGTGCTAAACACTTTACCTCACTTAATCCTCAGCACATCCTCACAGATGAGGAAATTGTGAGGTTAAGTAACAGGAGTTCTGCTACCAGGCCTTGTGCTGTTAACCTCTGAGCTGCCTCTTCGTAACTACCTCTTAATTGCCTCTATTTTAGCTGTCCCACTGGGATGGGGATGGGGTCTCATCATATGTCCCAGATGGAGGGCTGATCCCAGAATTACTATACATTTCTTTGCCTTGTCTGCTTCCTAACATACCTCAAGGTTTGGCCTTTTCTTGGCTTTGAGGTCCAGGAAGGTGCAAAGTATAAAGAATGCTTCACGCATAATATGAAGATGAAGTATGATATCCTCTTGTCCTCACTTTCATCATGTGTAGATGCCCATACAAGGCTTCATAACCTTGTGACAGTCAGTTTATTTGTTGTGGTGGGAGTAGGATAGATGAGGAATCTGCCTGCAGTCCTGGGACTGGTACACCTAACACATAACTAGTGCTCGTTAAGTAGATATACAGGTATACGTAATGTGCTTAGGTATATTTTAACATTTAGCATTATATAAAAATACTTTAAAAAAAATTAAGACTTCTGAGTTTTTCATATATGTTTTCAGTTTTTTCTCACTTTGCAAATTAGCATTTCTGTCAGTTTGAATATGTCACAGTAACAGATAGTATATGCTTTTCATAAATATTTTCATTCATTTTTAACAAAATATACAGTCAAGCTCTTTTTCAAGGAAACCAATTTCATACTAAACTAAGAAAAATAGTTTTTGCTTATGTTTTGCAGAGTTTGAATAATGAGATGAGTACAGATGACGACAATGAATATGCAGAGGAAAAGGAAAGCTACATCTGTGCAGTGTGTCTTGATGTTTATTTCAACCCATACATGTGTTACCCTTGCCACCACATCTTCTGTGAGCCCTGCTTACGGACTCTTGCCAAAGACAATCCTGCAAGCACTCCTTGCCCATTGTGTCGGACAATTATTTCCAGAGTCTTTTTTCAGACAGGTAACTGTTCTCTTGCATTAACATGATTGCCTGATTATTGACTACCTTTTGTTCCAGGTCTAAAGTACTTTATAAAGTATTATGAAAAATTTATTGAAAATCATAAACAGTGTAATTTTTCACTCTACAGTTTATAAAACAGTGCTTATTCAACTCATAGAACTCTGTTAAAAATCATGAAATCATAGAAGCATAGATAAAAATAGGCTCTCATCTCTAAAACCCTACACTATGCTGAGATCTTTTTGAAAATATCCTCACTAGACGTTGTTCAGTCTTCAGCTTATCCAGTGTCAGAGATATTCCATTAAAATTCGAAGCATCCCTATTGATTTGTTTATTCCCCATGCCTGCCTTCTACTACTACTACTCATTCTTTGGCCCTAATATTTCCTCTGGAGTCTCAGAGAATAAATCTGTAAATATCTGAAGACAACTATTATGCTTTTCCCCCAAACTCCATATCTCCTCAACCTTCATACTGTTAACATCTTTCTTCTTGAATGAGAAGAAGGTAAATTAAAGCAAGGACTTGTTTATCTAATTATCATGTAAAGATGGAATAAAACACAGTATTTAAAACATACTAATGGAAAGAGGAAAAAATGTAGAGCATAGAGAACTTCTAAGAAAAAAAGGGAAGAATGACAGAGGTAAGCAGAGCTAATATTTATTGAGCACGCTACTGTGTGCTAAACGTTAAAAGAAAATAAATCTATCTCCACATTATCTCCCCAACCACAGAGGATTTAATGGGGTTCAAAGTATGTACTTCATTAATATTAAAACTGAAGAAAACACATGGCACATTTTCTTCCCGAAAAGAAAATCCAAGAACCCAGCTGCAAGGGAGAATCAGATTAAGAAAATAAACTTTAAATACCCTAACCCAACCAGCTTCATCAAGGCTGGTTTACAGGCTCAGTAATGAAACAATGAAGAGAAAGTAAAGATATGCCTCTAAGATCTGCCTAGTGCAGGTAGACTGGAGCACAAAATCACTGAACTTAGTGCTAGAAACAAAGAACATGTCAAGCATAGTAATGTGGTCAGTGACATCAAGCTGGCATCAGTCTCATCAGGCAGATTACTCTTTGTTTCATTGAAAGAGCAAGTAAGGGATGGAGAGAGGGAAGGAAGCAATTCTGTAAGAGGGCAGAAGCTTAGTGGAAGTTTCTCTTTTTCTGGCTTATATTGAAGTGCAAAAGGTGGTTCTTTTCTAATATCAGATCCTTTGCTGGGTTCTTTGGAGTGAAAAAAGAGAGGCACCAGTGACACCTCTCTCAATGTTATCTCTGACCACATATGCCATAAAGCATTTACTAGAAGGCTGTTTTGATAGGAAGCATCTAACAGCGGCCCCTAACCTTTTTGGCACCAAGGACCGGTGCTCCTATGAGAATCTAATGCCTGATGATCTGAGGTGGAGCTGAGGCGGTGATGCTAGCGCTTGCACACCCGCCGCTCACCTGCTGTGCAGCCTGGTTCCCAACAGGCCACAGACTGGTCCACTGCCTTGGGGCTGGGGACCCCTGATCTAGACAGTTTACATAGTGTTTTAGACAGATGTTGTCCCTGCCTTTCATGATCTAATTTAATACTGATAGGTATTTTAAAATTGCCTTCCTTGAGGTCTTAAAATAATAACGACTTAATCTCTTGACCCATTTATCAAAACAACAATGCCACATTTACCTTTATTTTTAAAATCGGGCCTTCTGAAATAAATCATATTGGGAATACTTATTCCAGTGGAGACTATATTTGGCTGTATACTGTCACGTAAAAGCTAATAATAATGAGAATATTGTACCTAACTATTTATACCCTAACTCAAAAGGATTTGAGGTGTTTTAAAAGATATAGTCAATGAAATAGCAGGACAAGGGAATTTATTAATCAAAATGGACTATAAAGACCAGATGAGGGTAGATAGGCTGATACATAAGCCATATAGCCTTACATAGTAACTACAATTAGATGAATTATTTGGTTTTAAATATTCTGGCCGCCTAAAGAAAAATAAAAGTAAAATACACAAATAAATGATTCCCATGATCTAAGAAAAGAAACAAATTCCTAAGGGTAAACAAAGGTTTTTCTGGCACCTTAAAAGGATTTTTTACATGATTTCTTCTCTAGGTCATATTGAAAGATAGATTAGGCAATGTCCTCAAAAATATCCTCAGAGCAAATGAAGTATCAAGTTTTCTATCATTGTGTTTTATGGTATTCTTTTATAAAACCTGAGGGAATATCAGAGTATAAATTAGGGAAAGCAACATTTCTAGGATGGCCAAAAATATGGCCTTGTTTCCTTATAAAAATAACTTAAAGTTTTGTAAGTAATATATTTCATTATAGCAAATCAGAGCATATAAATAAAATTATAAGCTCAAAACACTCCATAGTTCTACTATTTAAAGATCATTTTTAGTGTCCTTCAGACTGTTTTATATACATATACTTATTTGTCTTAGAAAAAAATAGATCATATTGTTTATAAAGCTTTTAACCTTTGTTTTCCTTAAAATTCTGTGATTATCATCATGATCTACTTAAGCTATCTACTGTTATGGGATATTAAGGTTAGTTAGTTATCATTCATTTATTTTCTGATATTTGTGAATAAATATTTGCACACATCTGAGTATTTACTTGAGATGTATTTCCAGAAGTAGAATTGGTAGAAAAAGCCTATATATGTTTTAAGGCTACAAATATGTAGCAAATTATGCTCCAAAATTATTGCAAGTAGCAGTATACAAGGCCTTCTTTTTTCTGCACTGTAGGCTAACCTTTTTTTTCCATTTTAAATCCCTTAACATGCCCATTACTGATTTTTCTTTTGGTCTGTTTATCTTGTTTATTAGCAAGAGAATTTTTTTTTAATTAGTGTCAGCTTTTGTCCTGTCTGCAAATCATTTTCCCATTTTGTCATTTGTAGTTTAATTATGTTTATTATATTTTATGAATGTGCAGAACTATATGTTTATGTAGTCTTATGTAGCCATCTTTTCCTTTATTAGTTCTAATTTCAGAGTTAGGTATTAAAAAGTCTTTTCTACCACAGAATTATATAAATATTCTCTTTAGTGTATTTACTTTACATTTTTATTTTGTCCTCATTTCTCCACATTTAACTCCAGTCCATTTATTATGGTACATGGTTTGGTTAGAAATAGAGCACCTTTCTAACATTTCTTTAGGCATTTTTCCCAATAACATTTGCTGAACAATCCATTTTTTCTATGCTGATTGAATTGCCTTTTTAACAATAATAATTACTGAAAATAATTATTACTAAGATGTGTGTCTTTCTTGGCAGCTATTCAGTTTCATTCATATTTCACTCTTACGATTCTAGCCTGTATGTTTTAATAACTCACAAGCGAATTAAACTTATATAAATTATCTGGGGAGAATTCGCATTTTTAATTGAAGTTATAATATTGAGTGATTGTTATTATGGTATATCTGTAATTTCTCTCCTAAAGTCTCTGCACAGTTTTTATTAGCTTTATGCATATATATATGTAGTTGTTGTTGCTGAGATTATTTCCAAATTATTTTGGTTTCAGATACTTTGGTTGATATTTTAAGAAAGTTGTTAGTTTCCATCTGAGACTGTTCGGTTAACCTTACTGAACCCTGAGAGTTATTTATTAAGTGAATGAGTTAATTATTTCAAGTACGTAATGTCATCACTCCATGTGTGTACAAACCAGGCAGCAGTTATTGTTAAAGGTTAAGTGGGAAAGCTGTCATTTTCTGAAGGATCTGAAAAGGGGTTAGTTGTAACATAATTCTGTTATAGTAGCGCATGGATAGAGAGAGAATGAAATTCCTCCCAGATTTTTCCATAGGGTGCACATTAGTAAAATAATGATTTTAAACCCTAACTATGACATTCGCTAGTTATGTGATCTTGATTTAATTACTTAACACTGTTGGATGTGATCTTGATAAACTACTTAACATTGTTAAGAGTTGAGAAGTTAAATTGGGACAGGGTATGTAGAAGAAAGGGTAGAAGGCATTAATATCCATTTTTTAATAGAGGTCAAGATATACTGTCAAAACTCGATAGAAAAACAGAAAAATTGTAGTAGACACTGCTGATTGCTAATTAGTACCCATTACATCCTACTTCCTTCCTAACATAAACCTGAGGTTTATTCAAGTAGTCAACTCTCCCAACATAGATCAGGTGGCTTCTGGGTAGGTTACTAAATACCAAATACTAAGTCGCATTATTATATTAAACATTACATATTAAAATAGATAACTTATAACTTTAACTATAACTTATCTAGCTAATAAAATAGGAACTCTAAATAACAACATCATTGAAACATAAATTACATTCTATATAACTCAGATATTATAAAATTTATAACTTCATTTTTACAAAGTATCAAATATAGAACTTTAGTTTTCAGTTTGGTTTTATCCCTATCGTGTATGCCTCTGTCATCAGGCTACATATTTAGCTGGAGAATAGGACTTACTAAACTAGATTTTAACTTTGAACAGTTCACTTACTTAAAATAAATAGTAAAATCAGCATATTAAAGGAGAGTAAGATGAAACTAATCTAAAAGTTCTAAAGATCACCTCACAAGAGATTACAAAACAAAAAGCTATGTTAAGAAATGAGGGTTTAGCATCAGCTGGTAAAGATTATTTTGTTAGAAGTCTCCTTTTTCACACAAGTGCCCACTAACTGGGACTCTGATTCCCAATCGTATCTATTCCTTGCAAATGTCCTTTATTGTACATTAATCTCCTAAAACCAAATACCTGTGAACAAGCATTCATAGCACCCATTGAAATGAGGGAGAGTTGGATATCCACTCAAAATCAGGACCCATGTATAAGCAGTTGACCCTTAAAACAGGTTTGAACTAAGTGGGCCCACTTATACTTGAATTTTTTTTCAATAAATATACAGTGAGCCGTCCTTATCTACAGTTTTTACATTTGTGGACTTGACCAATCATGGATCAAAAACAATATTCTGAATTCTTGGTTGGGAATCCATGAATGTGGAGGGCCAATAGTATGCATTGCTCTACACCATTTTATACAAGGGATTTGAGCATCCTCAGATTTTGGTATCTGCGGAGGGTCCTGGAACCAATCCCCCATGGATACCTAGGGACGACTGTGGTTATATTTTGGGAGAATCAAGTTATATGCAGATTTTCAACTGCATAAGGGTCAGCACCCCTAACCTCCACGTTGTTCATGGGCCAACTATAATTCAAAACTCTTGGAGAAGTGGTCTTTTTAAATTTTTATTATAACATGCTATAGTTTTGTCAGATCATTTTTGCAAATAACATTTTTTTTTAAATGAAATATGTATTAAACAAAATAGAATTCAGAAGGGAATTATAGGGGAGAAAAGCTTTCATAGGAATGAGGGGTAATTCGAAATGGGTAAACAAGACCTTTAATAATCTGAATGAGATGGCTGGACACATATATCCTAGCCTTTTAAAGTAGAACCTTTTAAAGTAATACTGCTGGATCCACATAAATTTATAATAATAGTCTTATCATATTTCCCTTCTTACTAAGATTCTAAGGCCTGAATTTACCCCATTATAACACTTTACCTCATAACTTTATGATTACATTTTTACTAGCTAGGATTTAATGCAGATACTATGCCTATTTCACAGTTTTAACTCTTGAACTTAGCAGAATGCTTTAAACTGTTATTAACAAATATTTTCTTGATTATAATTGTTTAAAATTATTAACATTTAAGAATAAAGCTGAAATCAAAGTTGCACCACCGTATTGGCACTGCCTGTAGTTCTAAAATTATTCTGTGTATGTGGCTATCGAATTTTATTGTTGATATAATACAGTGAAACTCATGTTAATACATCCTATAATAATGTGAATTATGTTTTTATGTAGTTGATAATTGACTCCTGCACTCAGCCAAATCAAAAAACACTAGAATTCTTTTATCCTAACAATCATATACTATTTTTATGACAGCGTCACACAAAGATGCTCCTGTTTCTAGGAGTACTGTCACCACATTTAGCTAAATGTATCATTTGAATAGACTTTAGAATCTTGTCAGGATATTCATTTTGTCTTTTTCTAACAATATGAAATGCAGAATACATCCAATATATTAGAATATTTATTGTAATAAGAAGCATCTACTCCCTAATAGATAGGGTTGGAGGAGAGAAGATAAAGGTGATCTTCATCACCTTTTACTCCAAACCCTTCACCTTGCTATTAGATTTTTCTTAGTGCTTCTTACAGATTTTTTTTTTTTTAGGTGTGGCAACCCTTGGTTAACCTCACAGATTGCAAGGACTTTGTCAGCTCACAATCCCTTATTATTTCTATTTTTATTTTTTATGCCTACGGCACCTGGTCTTCCTAGGTGGTCTCCCATCGAAGTACTAACCTGGCCCAACCTTGCTTAGCTTCCAAGATCAGACAAGATCAAAGATCAGGCTTGTTCAGGGTGGCATAGCCATAGACTTCATTTTACATGTTTTAATAAAGTAATTTCTCTGATCATAATTTTCTTAGGTATTATAAATGTATTTACAAATCTTTTCCTGCTTTGGTACATTAATCACATGGTTTGTTGGTTAAATATAGGCTAAAAGTAAGTTACTTGAAGCTAAGAAATATCACAGGCATCGTTATTACTTTAATTCTCTCATCTACCCTCTAAAAGAAATTTGGTTCATGGCCAGTTATCAAAACTGCAGTTATTGGATGACTCGTACAAGAATGTCCTTCTGATCTAGTGTACTCGAATTCAGTTACACTTTGAGATAAGTTCTCAGTATAAGAGAGGGAGTGTGCAAGGGTATCCTTTGGTTGTTGCATCAACATTTTAGACCCAGCTAGAAGCTCTACAGAAGCAGCCATGGAAAGAAGAAAGAGAAAGGGGAGGAATAAGAATTCTTGAGTTGCCAGCTTCTCTTGGTTTATATTATCTCCCACATGAAATCTTCATTTACCCATCACACTGGTCTCATTCGTTTTTAAGGGCATTTAGAAAGTTCCAAGTCAATTTCCCCAATACTATTTATGGAATTTTTAATTTCTCAGAAAATGCCATATATCGTAGTTATCATTGTTTAAGGATAAGTCCTGTAAGAAGAAATTGTTAACTGTGTGTTATGAGTCATTTGAAAACTTCTTCCTTTGTCTTCATCAGTATGAATGACACTGATGAGTCCTTTGAAGCAGGTAATGGTTCCATGACCATCTTGTACTAAGGGGCTGTTCACAGGTACTGGGCAAAGTGAACTTTAATAAAGTAGCAGTGCATTGCTGCAATGTTGTGAGCGTATCCAACCTGAAATGATTTAACAGTTAAATACATTAGGGATAAAAGACTCACTAGCCATGACAACCCCCAGCATACAAATGAGTATACAAACTATGAAAACACTTTTTCTCTAACTTGTCTACTCAAGTTACTGATTCTCAAGTATGGAATGGGGAAGGGAAATTAAGAGTTTTAGACTTAATTCATAACCTCACTTGCCTAGACCAGTCTATTTTTTTTTTTTACATTCTTTTGTTAAATATAAACTTTATGAATCTGTTTTTCCTGTGAATTAGGTAAGAATCAAACCAAGGGAATAATTAGGAAAAATAGAGAAAATTTAATGTAACTGGTTTGAGCAGAAGCTCAAAGCCTGAAGTAGGATGGAAACTGAGGAAATGCTATAGGTAATATAATTATGGGATGAAAGTAAAGGAGGCCATTGATAGAAAGACTATAGTTTACTTTTCAAGTTAGTAACCAACTCTGCACTGGCCTGAGAAGAACTTCACCATTAAACTGTCTGACTCAGATCATACCTTGCTTTCTGTGGCTCATATATAGAGACATTCTATTATTTGAAGTGAATATCATTTGTGTTCCCTTGTCTGTGTTTATTCAATATTTAACTCATTAGCAAGCTTCTGAAAGATTGAGAATTTAATTCTACATTTTTTAAACATCCTCAAATCAGCAGCATTAGACTCAATCAGTGCTCAACCCACCACATATAGAATGAAATAGATAATGAAGTAAAAAGTTCTAGAAGGGTTTTTTCTTTCCATTATCACTCGTAAGCCTCATGTGGTTGTATTCTTGCTATTCTGTTGCTATACACCTAACACATTATCCCACCTCCTCTTTTTTGTCTGTTTATTTCCATCTTTTAGTCTGCAGTCTTCTTGAGGGCAGGAACTATGTCTTATTCTTTACTGTGTCTTCCACATCTGGCATAGCCTCTGACAGAGGAGATACTCAGTAGATGTATGTTCTATGTGTAGGTATATCAAAGTTGCCTCAAATGTGAATTGGGGAGAATTATGTTTGCTTGAGTTAAAAAGAAAATTGATTTTGCTTTTGTCTTTGCTGTCCCAAAGAGATCTGAATTTATTATCAAAATACTGCAATATTTTTCATGTTCTTGCCATTTTACTCAGATTAATGTTTTAAAATACTATTTTCTTTTGCTTTATTCTAGAACTGAATAATGCCACAAAAACATTCTTCACTAAAGAATATTTGAAAATAAAACAAAGCTTTCAGAAATCCAGCTCTGCGAAATGGCCCTTACCAAGCTGCAAAAAAGCATTCCATCTTTTTGGAGGTAAGGAAACTAATCTCTGTCTCCCCCACCCAAAAAAAGAAAAGCCTGGTAACTTTGTACAAGCTCTCTTTTTAAAGCTGTTTTCTTCCTGCTTTAGATGTTAGTGGAAACATATTTCTTTTTAATTAAAAATTATTGGGGGTGACATTGATCGACAAAATCCAGTGTTTCAAGTGTACAATTCAACAGTAAGTTGCATGTATTGCATCGTGTGCTCTCCACTCATAGTTAAAATTTCCTTCTTTTACCAAATATTTGACCCTTTTTACCCCCATCTACCTCTCTCCTCCCCCTTCCCTCTGGTAACCAGTAATCCACTGTCCATGTCCATGAGTTTCTGTCATGTTTGTTTGTCACTTTTAAATTTAGATCTCACATGAGTGATATCATATGGTTTTCAACTTTTTCTGATTTATTTCGCTTAGCATGATCTCAAGATTCATCGTGTTGTCACAAATGTCATCTTTCCTTATAGCTGAGTAATATTCCATTGTATATATGTTCCACATCTTCTTTATTCAGTCATCTATTGTAGAACACTTCGGTTGCTTCCATGTCCTGGCCACCATGAATAATGCTGTGATGAACATCAGGGTGCATATATCTTCGCTGATAAATGTTTCAGGGTTTTGGTGGGGGTCGGGGGGTGGTGGCAAATACCCAGTAGAGGGATTGCTGGATCATATGGTCGATCAATTCTTAGTTTTTCGAGGAACCTCCATACTGTTGTTCATACTGGTTGTACCAATTTGCAGTCCCACTAGCAGTATATGAGGGTTCCACTTCCCCCACAACCTCTCCAGCACTTGTGATTGCTTGTCTTGTTGATGATAGCCATTGTGATTTTGATTTGCATTTCTCTAGTAGCTAGTGAAGTTGAACATTTTTTCATGTCTGTTAGCCATTTGTACATCTTTTTGGAAGGCGTGTCTGGTATATGTCCTCTGCCCATTTTTAAATTGGGTTGTTTGTTTTTTTATTATTCAGTTGTATGAGTTCTTCGAATGTTTTAGATATTAGGCCCTTATAAGAGGCATTGTTTGCAAATACATACTCATTTGGATGGTTGCCTCTTTGCCTTTTTGTTGATGGTTTCTTTTGCTGTGCAGAAGCTTTTTAGTTTGATATAGGATTTTATAACTCTCCTCAAAGGCAAGGGAAGTAAAAGCAAAAATAAATGAATGAAACATATTTCTTTATTGATCAATTTCAAGGATTTTGCCAAAAGCTACAGGTATACATATGAAGAAAATGAAGACTTCAGTAAGAGCAAAATTTAAGAGAAATTCATGATTATATTTACTTTGCCTTGCTGTCAGAAATATTTAATGTGTAGATAATGTAATTCATCTCAAAAGTAACAGATTTATCAAAATCTATATTTGATAAAGCACTGGTATTCTTTATAAGATTCTGAATAATTCATTATCATAAGCTAAGTTTATTTAGTTTTAATATTTTACAGTTGTCCCGCCAGATTAGGACAACTAAAAAGTGGCGGAGTCTTGGCATAGAGAGTGGACTAGGAATACCAGTTTCTGTGTTCAAGTCTAACCAGCTGTTTGACCTCAAGGATGTAGTAGAAACCTCTTCTTTAGTTTCTGTCTTCTGATCTGTAAAATGGGAATAATTATATCCGCTTCGCCTGATAGAGTTGTTCTAAGGATCAAATGAGTAATGAGCTAATATGAAAGCACATTCTAAATTATAACTAATTGTACTGTGTAGATATAAGGAATTTTCAAAATAAGGGTAAGATAGTTTCTAATACTTTTTTCACCTTTGAGAATTTGTTACTGTATAATGATGATCGTACAATATGGACAAAATGTAATCTTTTTAAAATCATGGTGTGTTAGAGCATGAACTACTGTGCAATTTTAGTATTTGCCCCTTATGATATTATAGAGTCTGACTGGAAAGTTTCAGATATGGGGAATTATGATCTTCAGGGAACAGGTAGGACTTCTATATAAGAAAAACTGATAAGATCAGTACAGGAGTGTCATAGACCAGAGTAGAAAATCAGAGCCCGCATAGTTGAGGCAAAAAAATTGATTTACAAACTCCCCGAGGTTAAAAGAAAGTAGTTTTTAAGGACAAATATAACTTTATGTAGTGATTTGAATGAAGAAAGTAGTTTAAGGACATTATATAGGCACATACTGTTTTATAAAGTGGTTAGTAACTGTAAAAGAAACTCATTATCCACAGGTTTGGTATAGAAACATTTAAAATGTATCACATTTAGCCCAAAATATAATACGAAATCAAATATAAGAAAATCAGTCTTACTTAAAGGATTTCATACCAAGGAAGAAAAACTCTATAATATAAATTATGTGCTTTAAAAGATTCTTTTATATCCTACTTTCTATCATATATCCATATTTTAAAAAGAATGAAGCACTTTTATGATAACTCCATAATTTCCTTCATTTTTTTGTATTCTGGGGTACTGAAGCTTTAAACAGTACTTCTTTTGTGATTTCATTTTATTTATCCTCCATATAGGAGTTTCGCAGAACTTTTTGTGTTTTTATGGAGGAGGTTCAAAATAGCTTTATTACACAACCTAAATTGAGAAACATATCACTGTCAGGAGCTGAGCTGAGCAAGAGCTAAGCTATTAGTTTGAGCCAAAATTGAAAGAGTTAAGCCTTCAATCACTTGGTGCAGTGGGATAAGCATGAGTCTACAACCCAAGGACATGACACCCCCACCACCCCACCCTCACCCCTGTTCCATTTTCCCGCACTACGTCACACTAGTCCAGGGTCAAGTGGATCTGCACAGAGCTGGGGGTCTTCTCACTGCTGCAGGTCTTCTGAACGAAAGGCACCAGTAGTTTTATGGGCCCTGAAGTTTACGTAGAGGTTTTGGGGAGGTGGGGGGCAAATGGGAAGGGCTGGGTATGGAAAAGTCTCAGGTATTAATTCAGAGTAGGGGAAAATGTCAAGGTTTCCCCCTTCTCCTCCTCCAAAGAGGTCTCAGCAGAGGTGCCTAAAGAAGCCCTGTGCCCAAGGCCTCAAATAAAGGACCTGGGAATGCAGGACTAGGGATTGTAAATATGTGCAAGAGCATCACTGGCCAGGGGGCCTGACACCTCACTGCAACTCCTTCAGAGATAAACGTACTGCTGTACACCAACTTTGGTGTGGGGAGGGGTACCTTTCTCCTGTGAGGCCTGCCAGGTAAATCCTTTGTAATTGCCTTTAATCAGGCCTGAAAAGCCACACATAGGATTTTAATCACAAACTGAACTCAATGTCCAGTATTACTGAAGCACCTTCTGTACTTCTTGTTTGCTTTCTGCTTCCCTGAATTTTGTATTTATCATTTCTTTATATAAGTATACATATATATACTAAATCAACGTTATTTAATTTTGGTTGTTTTTGAACATTTGCAATAGTAACCATGTATATTCTATATTTGCCTTGTCACTCAACATTGTTTCTTGGATTCATCCATTTCAGTAAGTGTAGCCACATTCATTTATTTTTACTGCTATACTGTAGTCTATTATGTGAATACAGAACAATTTATTCATTCTCCTATTGATGAACAATTGAGTTGTCCAGCTTTTTGCTATTATAAACAATGCTGCTGCAAACATTCCTTAATATCTCCTGGTGCGTAAGAGTTCCTCTAGAATAAATTCTAGTAGAAAACTACTGGGTCATAAGAAAAGTACATCTTTAACTTGATTACCGAAACCAAACTGTTTTCTTAAATGACTGCACTGATTTAGCACTAGCTACCACATTTGGTATTTTCAGTCCTTTAGATTTTAGCCAGTTTGATAAGTATAAAATGATATCTCATTGGGGTTTTAATTTCAATTTTTCTAATTCCTAATGGGGATCGACTGTAGCTTTAATGTGTATTGGCCATTGAGTTTCTTCAAATGTGATATTCCTTTATGGATTTTGTCCATTTTTCTATTGATTATATTTTTCTTGTTGATTTTTGAGTTTTAAAATATTTTTGGTGACTTTTATCTGTTATTTATATGAATAGCTGCTATCTTCTCCCGGTTGTGGTCTTTTCACTTCGTAATCTCTTAATGAATTACAGTTCTTTTTCTTCATCTTTCTGTTGTAAATTATCCGCCTTAATAAATTCTTCTCTGTTCCCCCAGGGTCACAGAAATATTTTCCTATGCATTTTTCAAGTAGATTTAAAAATCTTTGGTATTGATTCGTGATGGTGGCATTTTCTAGGTTTTGAGGTATGGGGTGCTGTGTTGTAAGAGGGAGCCAAATGCTTGGGGTTTTTTTTTCCTATTTAAGTTTTTCCAACCACTATTTATTGAAAATAGTTCATTTCCCCACTGATCCAGCACTAATGTCATATTTTAAATTGTGTGTGGGTCTATTTTTAAGGTCTTTGTACTATTTTGTCATAATCACTAAAGCTTTATAATAAGTCTTGACATCACCCTTAAAACTTGTTTTGCTGTAAGAGTGCCTTGGCATTTTTTTTTTTCTTTTCTCTCTCTCCTCATTTGAGAATCATCTTGTCAGGTTCTATAAAGAACTACATTGTATTGAGGAAGGGAGGTCCTATTCAATGTATGAGTCAATTTGGGGAAAATTGACACCTTATAGTAATAGCTTTCCCTGTCCACTAATTGGTTTTCTCTTTTATTTAGATCTTCTAAATCTTTGTTTTATAATAAAATTTTATAATTTTCTTTACAAATGTCTTATACTTCTTTTGGTTAGATTTATACCTATGTACCTGCTGTGTTGTTGTCCTCTTTTCTGGACCTTGAGTGCGAAGAGTTGTGCCAGTCAGACTTCTTAATTTATGGCATACCATCATCACTGGTCTATACGCTTGTTTCCTTTTGTCCCCTATCCTACTTTCCATTAGGTTGGGTTCAGTATTTCTCTTTTTGTTTGTATTTGTATGTAGTATGTATTACTGCTTTCTGTGTATATATTTTTAATTTATGGAAAAGAGACTGTTATATATGTAGTTATCTTTTTCAC